ACCAGCTCCTGTGGCAGGTTAAACTTCCTCAGCTGGCGAAGAAAGTACAACCTTTGTTGGGCCTTTTTAACAATGGAGTCGATGTGAGTGTCCCACTTCAGGTCCTGGGAGTGGTGGTTCCCAGGAATCTGAATGACTCCACTGCAGCCACAGTGCTGTCTATGATGGTGAGTGGGGAGAGTGCAGGGGGCTTTCTCCTGAAGTCCATGATCATCTCCACTGTTTTGAGCGTGTTCAGCTCCAGGTTGTTAAGACTGCACCAGACAGCCAGCTGCTCAACCTCTTGTTTGTAAGCAGACTTGTCACCGTCCTGGATGAGACCGATGACTGTAGTGTCGTCTGCAAACTTCAGGAGCTTGACAGAGGGGCTTTAGAGGTGCAGTCGTTGGTGTACAGGGAGAAGAGCAGTGGGGAGAGAACACATCCCTGAGGGGCACCAGTGTTGGTGGAGCGGCTGTTTGACATGAATTTCCCCAGTCTCACTAGCTGTTGCCTATCTGTCAGAAAGCTGGAGATCCACTGACAGATAGAGCTAGGGACAGAGAGCTGGGTTAGTTTGATCTGAAGGGCTGTTGGAATGATGGTGTTGAAAGCTGAACTAAAGTCCACAAACAGGATCCTCACATATTCTAATACAGGCTCTGTAATTCAGAGCCCGTGTTTCCCCGGCAGACTTGCATGCCATTTCCCAAGAGGATTGCAATCACATCTAATTCTTCCATATGCACCTAAACGATTTTCCATATGTGTAAGTGCTTCCGAAACCTCCATCGGGAAGGATGGGGCCTCCGCACTGTACCTGTTCCAAGTTCTTGAGTATGCATTGTACCTGCTGCCTATTTATACTCGTGCTGCAATCAGCGGCAGCTGGATGCAATCATCACATGCCAATGTGCATTGGCTTGTTTAGTTTATGCTCAAAGTAGATTGGTCTATCTAGCGAGATTCCCAATTTATCGGTCACCGACATGACGTCTCCATTCCCTCCTTCAGGGAACGAGGGTTACAATACTTAACGAGACGTTATAATTAATTAATTAACAAATAAATAAATAAGTAAATAAAAGCAATATGCAATTGCTCTTTAATTTGTGCCAAGGTTGTTTGATTCAGACATAATTAAAATAACAATGTACACTACCATTCAAAGATTTGGTCTCTTACACTCTCCAAGGCTGCACTTGCTTGATCCAAAATACAGGAAGAAAATGAAATATTGTAAAATACCATTGCAATTTACAATTACTATTTTCTATATGAATATAGATCAAATGTAATTTATTCCTATGATAGCAAAAGTGAATTTTCAGCAGCCATTACTCTAGTCATCAGTTTTACATGATCCTTAAGAAATCATTCTACTATGAAGAAACATTTCTTGTTATCAATTTTGAAAAGTTGCCTTTCTTTCTTTCTTTCTTTCTTTCACACCTGAAACTTTTGGATAGTAGTGTACATCTGTGCCCAAATTTACTGTACCTAACCTTGACACTGAACACTAATTCAGTTCCAATAGTGCCATAGCGCACGCCTAAAATCAGATTGCTCCATATGATTAAATGTGTTGACAGACAATCCATGTTGATTAAAAAAATATAATGAAAGAAAGACACTGTCATTATGAGTGACAGTTCAGACAAAATAAAAATAGTTTTACAGGGCTTTTAAAACAAATGAACAAATGCATCCTTCACCTGCCAACATGCTAAATGAGTGTTGGGTTTTACCCAGGACTTACTGAAGAAATCCAAAGCGATCTGTGACTCTGTATATGCTGTAGTCTGCATCCTCCCAAGGATCGATCTGAACTCCTGCGTCTCTACCCTGAAATATACACAAGTGAATACTTAATTGACTCGTCTGAACAGAAATCATGTAGTGTTTATCAAAGGTGCAACTAATCATCCAGTTCCAGGCAAATTTTAAGCAACTTTAAATGCAGCAGTTCTGAATCAGATTTGATTTTCATGAGTCTAATGGTAATATAATAATATATGGTATGTTATCATCTTAATAATATTAAATTCTTTATTGGCACATTTTCTAGTGATTATGGAAGCAGAAAATGCATTTATTCGACAGGTTGACAGATTTTCCACACAAAAAAACAAAAAAAGTTACAGGTTTTTATAAACTAAAAAAAAGAAGTTGAATTAAACAAATAAATATATGAAACCAACAAATTTTTGTTCAATGGAAGCAAATGAAATGTCTTGACATGTGGATGTCTGAATATCCACATTATCAATGTATACTTCGGTGACCAGGATCAACGTCCCCATCATTTTTTGCCATGACAGATTTTGTCCATATCCCACTCCAGTAATGCATCTGCTCTAATACTGGAAGGATTTCCAATTGTCGAGCAGAAGCTTTAATTTTGTCTGTGTGTTATAAATGGAAGTTCTCTGCTGAAACTCATTTTCAATGTGTTGCTGAGTGATTGATGCAGTTATGGAAAGTTTCAGCAGCAATATTCTCTCTGGCACACAGCTCTCCACATTACCCTTTCACTTTTCTGTGGCCTGCTAACCATTCTAGTGAAATTACAAAATGCAAACAAATGTGTCCCAACCCCTGTTATACATCCAATGACATATAGCTGTAATTCTGACTTATGAGCAGAGAACATTTTAATGTTCAGCACTCATTTAACATAATTTGCACCCTGTCAGTACAGCTGAAGTTTAAAAGCTTTTCCAATCGGTGTGGATTGATTCCCTGAGGGGGGATGGCTGCTGCTCTCCTGCCCTCTTCTCAACCCCATGGTGGAGAGAAGAGTGGAAAGAAAGCAGTGATCCGTGACAGACAGTTGAGGATTACAGTCCCAGTATTCCCCAATTTCAAATGAGACTGTAAGAGAATGTCATGATGTCATGTTCAAATTGATCACCATGGTGGCCATATATTTCACAAACACTTTGTTGGTTCAAAAATCCTCTGTCCGCTGCCCTAGCACATAAAACTGCCTTTAAGAGTTTTTACACATTTTAGGGAGTTTTTACTTGCCACAATATGTATTGCGAAAAAGCCCATACAAATAAAACTGACCTAACTCAACAACCACAAAGGCCACAGCATATTTGAACAACCTCCAGATGTAGACCCAATGTAAAATAAACAACATCCACATTAATGAATTAATGAAATGTCAAACTGTAATACAGCAACATACAGGACAATAATACATTTCCCCTGCTAATGATGAAAATAGGCTAATGATCAACATTATGTACACTACAATTCAAAAGGTTGGTGTTGGTAAGTTTTTTTTTTTCTTTTATGCTCACCAAAGCTGCATTTATTCAACCAAAATTCAGTAAAACAGTAATATTGTGAAATATTATTACAATTTAAAATAACTAATAATTTAAAATGTAATTTATTCCTGTGATGGAAAAGCTGAATTTTCTAATATGCTGATTTGAAACATTTATTTATTTAGGAAAGCATGACACATTCTTTGATGAATGTAAAGTTAAAAAGAACATCATTTATTTTGACTTTTGATCAATTTAATACATATTTGCTGAATTTAAGTATTCATTTCTTAAAACATTTATAGCATACATATCATTTCTAGCACAAAGTCATTTTTTAGTAACTCATTACCTGAAGGTATACATTAAAGGAAATAGGCAAACTTGAATAAGTTACAGTAACTATCACAGAATCTGTACTATTTCAGTGAACATCTGCACAAAGTGTGAGGGTAAATGGCACAATTTACCTTATTATATTTAGAGATGATCTCAGCACGTTCCTCTGCTATCAGCACCTCTATGTCTTTCTTCATGTCAATGTCTAGAAATACAGCACATAAAGAACAATTAATGACAAGGAGAAAAATGAATACTGACAAAAAGCTGAACAATCTGGAAGACAGATTTTATGTTCTGTTAAGGACTATACATTTGTACAGATGAATATTAAATCGAATAACTTTGTTTTTGAAGACAGCTCAGCAACACAGGAAAAAACACACACTGGTCATGAGTGCAACATATTCATCATGTTCAGACTGAGAAACTGGTCCAAAATCAGCTCTTGTTGGCACTGGGTAACCTGAGCTCTCATAATGTTTTGAAGATCCTGTTGGTCATATGAAGGCCTTGACTGTCTCAGAAACATTAGCCCCATGGGAACCACGGAGCCAAAAGAAGGGAAAAAAGGTTCCCGCCAGGCTTCAACTGTCTGAGAGCACTGTGTGTCTGCTGAGTCAGTCGCACACACAAAAATAGAATCCCCCACTGTGGGATACAGCCCTGCATGACACACCATCATGTGTCATATTGAATATTTCCAGCCCATCAAAAAATCATTCCATCTGACATTTAAAACTTCAATAAACAGGAGAGACTAAAAACACAGTGCCCTCACTACCAAATTAACAAATGCATTTGCTTTGGGAATGTACAGCGCTCTCTCCCACCTTCAATACCACGACTGAGGTGCCCTTGAACAAGACACCGAACCCCCAACTGCTCCCCGCAACAAAAAAATGGCTGCCCACTGCTCCGGGTGTGTGTTCACTGCTGTGTGTGGGTCACCATACTTGGCCACATGTCACTTCACTTTATAAGGCTGTCACAAAAGTACTGACACAAGGATTACAAGTGAACAGAAAATCTGAGCTATGTGTTTCCCAAAAAAAAGGATTGTCAAAAGATTGTCATCTTCAGTCACAATCATAGTTTGTGAGAGACTGTGCTTCCATGGCTTGCAAACCAGCAGAACCACAGGAAATAATTCTGTGCTTATGAATTTTGTACTACTCAATGAGAATCATTTACTCAAAACCACAGTTTGTAAAACTGAAGAAAAACAAAAGACTTTACTAAGCATTTTTCTCATCACCCACTGTCATTATATTACATTGTATATCCTCTCAGTAAAATCTCTCTTTAAGTCAGTTTTTAAAAAAAATTGGTTACAAGAGCTGCTGAGGTAGTCTAAGGTATAGCCATTGTAAGAAACATTAAAAGCATGTTAGGTTATGTAATATTTCTGGCACAATAACACTTTAGTGATCTGGAAACTCCCAAATCTTCCAAATAGTCCAAACGATTTTTACAGAGAAACACAATTTTTCATTGACGCTGAAATTTAAACAGGGTTTTGTAGTGAAGCACCAACATTTTCACAATCGAATATTTGAGTGCTTATTATTTAATACATTTGATCAATTAATTGATTATTAAATAAACTTTGTATTCAGCTTTGATTTTTTTGGGGTAAATGAAAACATTTTTTCGGTAAAATAACTAGTTTTGTTGATTTTTTTGCCAACCCATAAAAAAAAGTGTCACCTTCAAAGAAACTGATCTGAAATCTGAATAAGCTGGCCTTATCCCAACATTACATAAATAAACCAAGACGTCAAAAATGTTTCTACTTAATCTAATCCATTTCCATAAGGATAAGCAAAATCCTTCTTTCGCCTAAGGAAATCAGTGTCGTCATCTGTCACCCTTGCAGTAAACGAGGCAAAAGGATTAGGTTATGCAGTCTTTGATGAAACCTCAGATTATAAACCTCAAGACTGTCATTCTGAATGTACAAGTGCTCAGAACAAAGCATATCTGAAAATATTTACATGTAATGATCCCATCAGTCATACCATATACACTATAACATATACATATAACATGTGCTAATTTCGATGAATTAAGAGCTACCCAACAGGAATTCTGAAATCTGTGAGGTATTTCCTCTCCAAACCTCAGTTTATGTGTATTTTTTGTTAGTCTAGTCTGTTATGCATGTCACAGAGACTCAGCCTAGCTTTTTTCTCATATCTTATATTCACCATTGCCTCTACATTCAATCCATCTTTGTATGGCTTAAAGGGATCACATCATACTTTTTTCCCTTGACATCCACTGAACTCTTTTCCCCCCCCCCCCCCTCTCTGACCTAAATAATGGTTTTCTTTCTTTCTTTCATTAAAAATATCATAATTTTTTTTTTTTTGCAGAATCCCACAAGGGATTTGGTGAGAGTGGAGAGTGTAACCCCCAATAATCACTACTACGTTTAACAGGATATCTGAGAAATGCATTTCCACTGCCTCCCATTGTGTGGTGTCAACAAGACAATGGCAGATGTTTTCTTAGGGGCTTTAGGGACTGTTTGATTGACAGTAAATGAGAGACCCCAAAAGGAGGGACAAGAGATCCTCAGAGGAACCTTGTTGCAATATTATTTATCTTAAATATAACGTTGTGAAGTGGAAACTATCTGCTTTTTAAGTTCGGGCTGCTGCATTTGACTTGAGATTGAGAGAAGAAAAACTGTGGTTTAGTAGCTCCGTTGGTCGGTTTGTGTACCAACCCCCTTTCAAGGGGGAAGAGAGAGAGGGGGACGCCTTGCTGAAGACAGTGATGAACAAGCATTTCATACAGACCAATCAGCTCACAGTACATCATCAGAACTATTTTACAGAAAATATATACGTTCTGCAGTACTTTATAGTACACTATACAGTCCAATTTCTAAACTTCCTTTTATTGTAAAAATCCTAGAAAAGGCTGTGTTTTGTCAGCTCTCTTCTTTTTTAGCATATTGACATAATGGTTAAGTTTCAGTCAGGGTTCAGAACTTATTAGGGTATTAAATGATATTTTATTGGAAGTTGACAATGGAAATTGTGTCAGTCTTGTCTTGTTAGACCTGAGCGCTGCCTTTGACACACTGGATCATACCATTTTGTTAGAGCATCTTGAGCGGTGTGTTGGGGTAAGTATGGTGGCTTTACGTTGGTTCCATTCTTACCTGGAGGATAGAACTTTCACTGTAAAGATTGGGAATAATTGTTCTTCTGTAAGTTATGGGTTACCTCAGGGCTCTATTTTAGGGCCGTTGCTTTTTTCTCTATACATGATTCCACTGGGCTCTATATTTAATACATTTGGCATTTCGTATCATGGTTATGCTGATGACACGCAGTTATCCCTGCCTTTTAAAGCAGGAAATAATGCAGCTGAAAATTCCTTGTTGATTTGCCTTGAAGTCTTAAGCAGACTTTTTTAATGTCAAATGATAAAAAGACTGAAATTGTGCTTTTTGGGGAAAAGTCATGCTACTAACATAGGCATAATTTTTTATTCTGAGCTCAAATTAAATCGTCAAATAAACACAGTAGTAAAAAATAGTTTATTTCAATTGAGGAGGATTGCAAAATTTAAGTCAGTTTTATCAAAGAATGATCTTGAAAAAGTTATACATGTTTTTATATTTCACGCTTGGATTATTGTAATGCATTATGCAGGGGTTTGTCAGTTGTCCCTGTCGAGGTTACAGTTGGTTCAAAATGCTGCGGCCAGACTGCTGACAAATACTAAGAAAAGAGACCATATAACTACATATAAATACAGCACTTTGGTATACTTTCATGGTTTTTAAGGCGCTTTATAAATAAATTATTGATTGTTTGATTGATTGACTATTTTTTAAATTTACAAAGTACAATATGGGAAATTTTCCTACCAGCTTGTATCCCCTGTAGTACTTGTGTATGTGCGATATCTGTTCATTCAAGTGAAATTTCAGTAAGCGAAATTTCAATAAGATCCAACCTAGGCTCATTGGAAGAAAGCACTTCTACCTACTGTACACTTTTGCACTCCAAAATCGTACTAATACATTTCACTGCAATTTCCAAATGAAATGACCACACAAATTATGTTTACGGTGCATATTATAATTTAATTTAAAAAAAAGATAATTTGTAAACTAAAACATTTGCATCACATACTGTAATCAGCTCCATACTGTAATCATAATCCATATCATTAATATGAAAATATTTATAACATCTGTTGAAACAACAGAAGCCTGAAAATCTAATACTGTGAAATTTATTGAAAATATATAAAAAATACACTTTTATATAATAATTTCTTCTTGTGATGAAACACAGAAAGAGTTTAGCACAGGTAAATTGCTGAATTCATCGGGTTAGTTTCAGTTTTTCCTGAAGAACAAGCATGACAGAAATTAGGCCAAGACATTATGTTCTTGTTTGAATGGAGACTGGGTGGGGTTTTTATTTTGATCACTTGTGTCAGTGTAAAAGTGGCTATTTAATTCAAAAGGACTTTCCATTTTAGGCCTGACTGTTGATCTCTTCCAACTCTGTTTATGAGTCAAGTACAAGGGAAAATGTTGACCTACGGGCATAGATATTACACAAGGTGCCATAAATAGCCATTTCTCTAGAGAGCCAGAGTCTAACCGTTGGCTTTCTAATTGTCTCAGTTCTCACCAGCATATGGAATGACAGGCCTTTCTGCTGAACGTCTTCCCAGCTGGATGTGAAACTCCATGCCTGGCCTACTGTAGGAATCACTGCCCACTGGCCTCCAAAAATATAGACACTGAGGAAAGAATAGATCCTCACAAAATCTATAGTATATTTTAGAGCAGTGATGTTTTCCTGAAAGTTGAAAGCTGAAACTTACTAAAAGTTCAAAACAGCAAATTAAATAATGTAACATTATATAATAATTATCCTTGATAAGTCATTAACAAACATTAAAGTTCATATTCTGCTGTACATTGCACAATATAATGTAATAATCTTTGTTAATATTATAGACAGTTATTATAAAATGTCCGTTTGGAATCAGTTTCAGCATGCAGTGATGTCACAGTGATATTTGTTGTTCACTCAACTGAAGAATATGTTGGTGAAAGTACACAATAACTTGTATGTATGGCAGTAAACATGAGTGGATCACTGTGGGCTGAAGCTATGAATTATTCATGTGTGCTGAATGAGGACAATGTTTGATACAAACCTA